ACAATTTTTGCCTGTAGTGTTTAACCTTAATTCTTATATGTTTGAGTGATTGTGTTTCTCTGCGTGAAGATAGGAAGAAAAGAGGCTTGCCGAGCAGAGAGGAGGGCTTATACCTCGTGCTTCGACAGTGATGAATGTGTTTAGGGCAGAAGTATCTGCGTGAGAGAAACCCAGGTTTCCATGATGAAACGCTGCATTGTAATTTGCCAGTGTGCGCCATAATAAATAAAAGCTCTCGCATTCTCCCGCCTCCTCTCAATCTTTTATCACCTCTCCTCCCTTTCCCCACACCTCAAGTCTTCATGCTGTTGCACTGTGAAAAATTATCTGTGAATCTATACAAGTCATCGGATCTTTAATTGGAGCATACGCCGCAACATCTGTCGAATGCTGAAACAAGTGCGCTTTTTTTACAGCCACGGATCTCTTGATAGCACGTGCAAACCGTGAACCTGTGATGGTGAAAGCAAAACAGCTCAGTTCAGAAAGCCATGCTATTGTCTGTTGAAAAGGCAGGGCATATAATGTAGAGATCAGTGGCATGTTCGGTTTGATCTTTACTTTGTTCCAATGTTTGGAGTTTGGTATGATTTTTAAAAATGCGTCAAAATAATTTTCTGTTGATATCAAGGATGTGTGTGTGGGTGGTGTGTATGTGTTTTGTGACACAATTTTGTATAATACCTTGGGCATGGTATAATGTTTACTGTGTAAAAACTGTAGTCTATTCATAACTATATATATAGTTTTTAATTTTTATTTTTAGGAAAACTCAATCACTTAAAAAAACTGTAATCAATGTTATCATTGCAAATAAGCCATTCTTTTAATTTTATTTAAAAAAAAAGCTAATAATGACAAGATTTTTATTTGAAATTTGTAGTAAATTGTGTCAGAGCTATATAAAAAGGAATAGCACAAATATAATTTACTGTAATGCTCAATAAACTGTGTAAATCCAGAGAAATGGGAATACTTCAGTTCTCTCTTAATCGGCACATTTAAAAAAAAAAAGTTATACTTGAAATTAGTTTTATTTATGCATTGATATATTATGAAACAACATTGTAAAATATTATTGTAATTTTTTTAATAGCATTATTATTTACATTTGTTTGGAATGGATTTTGTGGTTTGTAGATCTTTTTCATATGTAAACTGCAACATTAGAACGTTAGAAAGAAATGATTGAAAGCACAACATGACCTCTTTATTCATTAAATATTGAAATGAAAACTTATTAGAATTAACAAATTACTTCCAGTAGACCATGAATAACCCCAGCAACTCAAAACAGGTTTATACACAGCAATTTTGCTGATGTATATTGAAAATGAATGATGATTTACTTTAGGGAATACAAAGTGAAAATAACCCCAAGTAACAAAACACAGTGAAGTCAAAAGAGTTTAAGTCACACATAAACTTATACTAAAAATAAAGCAGAAATGTAAAAAGAGTTTTTACTATGTAGCCTACATGGATGTTTTGTAATACTGCTCTATTATTTTAAAGGAATGGTTTCAGTTCGCCTGAATGAAAGTTACTCAAACCACAGAAATACAGAAATCACAGAAATACAGTTAAAATAAACATTAAAATAATGCATTCCTATCTCTTTTCCTATCTCTTTTTTTTTGTAGATTATGACTATTATAAAAGTAATTGTAGACAGTATAGTGGTCAGTTAGTTAGTGTCAGTGTTTAACATGTTGACATACAGCACAGATAATCACGATGACCTGATTTTGATTCTCAGCTTAAGGTTTTTTGTCATCTAAAAACCATAGTTTTTCCTCTTAACCCAATGTAAAAATGTACTTTTAATGAAAGACACAATAATTTCTGTAACATGCGAGAACATACAACAGAGTTGTTCCTAGATCGGAGATGGTTGTGGATGGTACTTATCAAAAATGATTTATATTATTTATTAAATTTCCCATTAATTGAATTTATTACTGTCTACCCTAACCCCAACCCTATATCTAACTGTCACAGTAATGTAAAACAGTAGTTGTACTGAGTATTATTGATGTTATGTATTAAATTACCCAATACATTTTTTTTTTTGTACGTCTACCCTAACCCTAAATCCAACTGAGAAACTATTAATAATAATTATTTGTATACAGTGTCAAACTAAATAATGCTGCAATATTGATGTGCATATCACACATATCCTATCTAGACTTTACCATACAACAAGGTATATGTTCCAAAAGCAGCTTTAGTGAAGAATGGTCAGACAGGCAAGGGCTCAAAATAGGAGCAAAAAATTATGTCAAAGGGAATCCACAAAGAATAATCTGAAATCAAGGCAGAGGTCAAGGCAGGCAGTAGACAATCAAAAATCAAGAAACAGTCCAAGATCAAAAACACAACAGGGCAAAAAAAAAAAAAAAAAAAACACACACAGAAACAAGGAAACAAGAAACACTCCGTAATGCACATAAAAGTAATAAGACTTCACAGTGACTGAGGTGCTCTTACAGTTGAATTCAAAATTATTAGCCCCCCTGAATTATTAGCACCCCTGTTTATTTTTTTTCTCCAACTTTTGTATAATTGAGGGAAGATTTTTTCAGCACATTTCTAAGCAAAATAGTTTTAAAAACCTATTTCTAATAACTGATTTATTTTAAGACAGTTCTACACAGCTTAAAGTGACATTTAAAGGCTTAACTAGGTTAATAAGGTGAACTAGGCAGGTTAGGGTAATTAGGCAAGTTATTCTATAACGATGTTTGTTCTGTAGACTATCGAAAAAACAATAGCTTAAAGGGGCTAATAATTTTGTCCCAAAAATAATTTAAAAAAATTAAAAACTGCTTTTATTCTTACCGAAATAAAACAAATAAGTCTTTCTCCAGAAGAAAAAACATTATCAGACATACTGTGAAAATGTCATTGCTCTATTACACATTATTTAGGAAATATTTAAAAAAATAATTCAAAGAGGGGCTAATAATTCTGACTTCAACTGTATGTGTGTGGAAACTGGCTGCAGGTGTGTGTAATCAGAGTCCAGTTCATATGAATCAGGTGAGGTGCAAAGCATTGTGGTATATGGAGTCTGGGAAAGTGGCTGATGTGAGAAGTAGAGTGCCCTCTATTGTGTCTGGTGGGTACTCTAGCTAGTGACCATAACAGTTTCACTTTATTTAGTGTATAGTGGGCCGGTATAAGATTCTGACGGTATAATAACCTTTGATAAAAATATCACGGTTTCGCACTTTTACTGCTCTAAAATAGATTATTTTTAAATATTATTTTAAAATAATTATTTTTAAAAAACAAAAACTTTCTCTTTTGAACGCGTCTATTTTAATTTGAGAAACATTGAACATGTTTTGGAGCAGTAAACATTTAGACTAAATCTGCTGTCTTCATTAAAGTTTATTTAAAATGACATCTTTGGATATCTTTTAGCTGGCGAGATATCATTGTCCTAAAAAATAAAAAATTATATATATATATATATATATATATATGTATATATATAGTTAATTTTATTTTTTAGTTTTTTTAAATCGTACACATACCTTAGGAAGGATGTAGCAGAAAATTTTGATGATTTTAAAACCTTGACTTTTCCAAACTACGGTATACCTTGAAAACGCCCTATGCCTAGTGTATAGTTAATTATACTTAGTATATTGTGTATATTGTGAATGAATGCTACAGCATAAACTGTACATAAACTATAAACTATACAGCATGAACTGATAAACTGTGATAAATACGTTAGTATACTTTAGTTTTTAACACAGTAGGCATCATGTTATGTATTATACCAAAAGGTCACAGAAAACGTAACAATAATTACAAATAAAAAACAAACAAATACTTATTAATATAAATTATTAACAAATGTATAATTTGTTTATGTTTCTATAGTTGTTTTACTGCAGCAACTAAAGAATAGGGTATATGCAGAAGCATGCAGCAGGACTTTTAGTTTTTCAGTAACCTGTATACCGTTACAAAATGATCGTGTTTAAGGTCTGTTTTCTGTAAAAATCATTGATCCTCACTGCCTAAATGATGTACGCTATAAAGTGGGTCTCAGATTGTACAAGAAGCACTGCATTAAATTACATTTTTTCCACGCCATGTCTTTAAAATATATATATATATTTTTTACTTCAGTATTTCCAATGCTGTTATTGTGCTCGCCTGCTGATTCTGTCGGGCACGTGCATATAATCGGCTTTTCATCTCGTTTTACGCTTGAACAACTAAATGAATGCTGAAATCTATTTAGCTGATTTTAATTATATTACAACATTGATGCTGTTAAAGGAGCTGTTTTAAAATTGAAAAAGTCACATTAACCGTTCATCGGAGTGTTTTAGGTATGAAAAGAAACACTAGCTCTGCATATACCCTATTACCACAACAGGTTAATTTAGGTTCTTTACTATAGTATGGTTCCAAAACATTACAGTATTTACTGTAAACTACTCTAGTATTGCATGTGGGAGGATGAACCACTTACACTGTATGTTATTCATCACTGCTCAAGTCACTTTGCATCTAAGACTCTGCTGTAGGGAGAAAAATGTAAATGTAAAATAGAACACAAGCTATTGGTTACATCCCTCACTTGGCTGGAATCACAATTGCAGACAGTTTGAAATCCTTTATCTGAATTATTCAGCAAGTGTAGAAACGACAATAGTGTTTGATCTTTTCCTCCAGAGTCTGAGGTGGGTGAGTTGTTGTGCAGTTGGCCATGAGAAATATCACACAGCACATCATCAGAAACCATGCGAATGCAAAGACAGTTTCCCTCCATTTGAAGTGATCATAAGGCGCTCTCAGTGGGACTTGGCCTCCTTCCACGAGCATTTCCATATCATGACACGCATGTATGCATATGTTTTGTTGTGACACTGCATTTCATGGCCTGCTTTACTTGAAGAAGGCTATTGGGAGTGGATTTAGCCTGAGACTAATGCATCTGCTTGCTGTTTGTTTCCGCTGTGTTTGTGCAGGGTCTTCATGAGGAATGTCAGTACCTCTTTCAGCCTCAACTCATCGTTCAGAGACTCATCGGGATTTCGGTGCTTTATCCTGGTTACTTCATTGACCAGATGATTCCACTTCACAACAGATCTGTGCTCTACAAGTGAGTAAATGTGAAGGTTAAGTATATACAAGTGGAAACTTAAATACAAGCAAGAGATGTGTAATGTACAATAGGTTTGATTGTCAAATTAATTATATTCTTTTGAATATTCTTGTCATCTTAGAATTTTGAAAAAAAGTATGTTTACACAGCCCAAACAAATTAATTAATACAATATAAATTAATAATAAATAGCTTCATTAACAATAGTTAACTTCTATACTTCAGTTAACTAATATTGGAAAATATTAAAAAAGTGTGTGATGTGTTATTTTTGTTATTTTATTATTGTAATGTTATTATTGAAGCAGGCTTTATGTTGTAGTATTGCTTTTTTAATCAACACTGCTCATTAATAAAATGCTGTCTGCTCATATTGTATTGGATCTGAACCAACAGGAGCTAATAAATAATGAACAGCTGTATTGTTTATTGAATAATAAAAAGTAACAATAAATGTATAACACATTCAGCTCTGTCATAAAGCTTGTGCATTATAATTCGATTTAAATTTTTCAGGCCTGTCTAGACACAATTTTTTTTTAATAACACATTCATGACTTCATGTTTTTAAACAAAAACTATATTAAGCAAATATGAAAAGGTTTTATTCATTTGGTTATGGTATTAACACACACATATATATATATATATATATATATATATATATATATATATATATATATATATATATATATATATATATATATATATATATATATATATAATGTAATGCTAGTAAGCAGGATGGATCCATGCTTTCATGTTGTTGATGGCAAATTCTGCCTTTACCCTCCAAATGTCGTAGCAGAAATCGAGACACATCAGACTAGGTAACATTTTTCCAATCTTCTATTGTCCAGTTTTGTTAAGCCTGTGCGACTTGTCTTGACCATGTCTACATGCCTAAATACATTGAGCATTGAGTTGCTGCCGTGTGATTGGCTGATTAGAAATTTGCGTAATGAACAGTTAGAAAAGTGTACCTAATAAAGTGGCCGGTGGGTGTATGTATATGTATGTGTATATATATATATATATATATATATATATATATATATATAAATTAATTGGTTTTGCTATGCTTGTGATGAATACCAGGAATACACGCACACACATCTCTCACCCTCTCTGTGCTCTGCTCTCAGCACTTGACCATTCAACACACATCCTGCTCTCAGGCTTCCCTTCATTCCAGCCTTCCACTCTCATTAGGTTCAGATATTAAAGCTCTCCTCTCAATTAGCAAATAAAGTCTTTCTAAATGAAAAAGAGGAAAATGGAGAAGGGAGAGGTGATGAAATGCAATCATAAACAACAGGGTACACAGAAAAGACCTTGAGCACTGGATATTATGAGGATGGGCTTTTATCTACCATTAAAGCTGCTTTCAGAGAATATTTCAGAAGGACTAATAATTCCATACAATGAGATTTATGTCCATAGCAAATGAAATATATTCATGACAATAAGTAATGCTAGTAAGCAAATAATGCAAGTAAAGCGAAAATAAAATGTCAAAATGTGGATGAAAAGATGTGCATGACAATTACAGCTTTCATCAATCAATTTTTATTCAGTTTTTATATTAATATCAATCTATTACCTATACTGAACATAACTTTCTAAATCTTTTTTTATACAATAAAACTCATCGTTATGTGCTTAACATGGACATTAAACATATGAGCATTAGAAAACCTTGTTTTTTAGACCGGTGAAGATGCAATAAATAAAGTTTTTTAAATCATTTGTATTATTCAAAATAGGACATGCTATTTAATTAGATGTGAAATACAAAACAGTGCATAAAATTGGAAAAAGTGAGAGATTAACCGTGAAATAAATAATAAATTTTAAAATATATTTCAAGGCAAAGTTCCAAGACTAATTTCATTCATATCTTTTTTTTATATTTTCCTCAAGCGAGCCAGTAGATCTGTAAATGAACTGTGTTCTGTTTGATTAAGCATTTGTTTTGCTGTTTGTTTTGTTAATTATCAAAAACCAAAAGACAAAGCCAATTGTGTCATAGCCAGAAATAAAACGCAGATATTAATTATTTGTTCTAACTTCACAGTTGTTCTCAATTTCCTTTCAAATTAAAAAGAGCAACTTCTGATTAGTTGTTATTGATGTAGAAAATGAAGACGGAGAGATATGACAGCATTTTTAATGAGTTTGTTGAATTGGGCTGCATTTTAAAGTTCTCCTGAGTTTATGAAAATAGCAAAAGTTGTTTGACATTCTGTATTGTTTCATAATGTCTGCATTTTTACATTGGCTACTATAATCAGATTTTCACACATAGACAACATTCTTGTATTCTAGCAGAATCAACCATGTAGAGTAAAACCATGCAGAAAGTCATACTCAAAGTAAAGAAAAATGTCATTTAGACAGGTAGATCATTGCTCTTTTGAGCAGTGTTCACACCACAATTACAACATTAGAGTCATGTAGGACTTTTTGTTGTGTTTTACAGCAGTATTCTCAAACAGGAGTCGCCAATAGTTAATTGGCATACAAAAAGCATGTTTTTAAGCAAGAATTTGTTTCTGCTTGTATTTGTCTGTTTACACCTGAAGCTTTTGTAAAATATAAAACTACTGTATATGAGCAGTTCCATGCTAATGTCAACCTTGCCAAGAAAAACGTTTTTTACTGAATAAGTCTTTACTAGGTTTTTTTGTGCAGGCTTGTGTTTTACATTACTGTTAAATGCTCAAAAATGTATCGGTCAGTGTTGTCAAACTATTTTATTTGATTTACCAGTCACACAAGTGGCAATTTCAAATCTGTCTCATCCAAAACGGAGAGTTGACACATCCATAATGAAGCTTTTTCCTCATAAATGCAAAAATGTAAAATAAAATAAAATAAATTATTTTTGTTCTATAGAGAGCCAACTCTTATCCTTTTGATTAGCATCGTTTCTTTTGTTTTTTTTTGGTCACATTCATAACACGTTTATTTTCCTCATTTAAAGTACAAAACAGATTGCTATTTTTCTAGTCTTACAACTCTGTGGTCAGTTGTTATTGAAAAATAACAGAGGTTTTAATATAATGTTAACAGACTTTCTCTGTGAATTTAGGTTTTGAGTTTTTTTTCTAGAAATGTCACATCCATAAAACTGGTGCTCATATGAGACCATAATGACAACACAGTCTCACTGGAAAAAAAAAAAACATGCCTACATTTTGCTGGTTTAACAAAAATGCATTTCAACATATTTAACTGCAGTTTTGATGTAAAATGAACACTGTGTGGAAGTATGATATAAACAACTTTTGTTCCTTTTCACACTAATAATATTTACAGATTTCAGACAGGGTTTAGGTCAGCGCTTTGCTAGTCTAGGTGATCTGTAAGACAAGCCCTGCATTCTTGTGGACATACATCTAAAACTTATAACAAAACATACCCCAATGCTGCATGCCAGACACAGTCAGGAGGGAAGTTCAGCAGTCAAATATCATACTTTTGACCTTAATACGTTTCTGTCAATCGCATGTTGCATTCGCATTTTCACCGCGAGGTGTGAATATAAATACTGTTGTCTGAATACAGCTGACATAAAACATAAGCAACATCATATATTGCACTATAAATCTAAAATAATGTCAGAAACTGCATTAGTAAGTAGAGCTCTCACTAAGTTTGGGCTGTAAGCATACTTGCATACTTTTATTTATGTTTCAAATAAAGCTCAAATTATGTCTTTTGCTGAAGTCGGGGTTCTTCGATCTTCTAATGGCTCGTTTCCACTGAGTGGTACAGTACAGAATGGTACGAGTTGGTACAGGTCACCTTTATCAGGCTTGCGTGTCCACTGCCTAAAGGATACCAATGGTGGGTGGGGTGTATGACAGAAAGTTTCATTCAACGTCCTTCTCGCTTGAGGAAATGTCAAAGTAAATTTATGGGTCATTCACATATCAAGCACTTCTTGTTAAAACAGATGCTTCATACACATAAATACTTTTGTGTAATTGTTAGTTACTAACCTTTCTATCAGCAGGATTTGATCTGCAGATCAATGAGCGAAATAGCCTACTATAATGGCGCGAAATAGCCTTCTATAATGTCGACAATTATATTAAATAAATAAATACAACATATATGAACACATACAGCCCCTATTTGGGTTCAAATCTACATGTACGTATAGCCCAATGTCAGAGCAAACCTCTCATCTGTATCTTTAATCTTCACCAGCACATGTAACCTTTTGCTGGAAAGTAATTCCGTCATTCCAAGTTCATAATAGTTTAACAGTTGATAATACAAGTTAAACTTGACAGTTTGTTCATGGTTTAGGTTGCTGAAAGAATCATTTGCTGCTTTGTTTTTTCCGTCTTCCCCTTTGTTTTTTTGTGCTTCACTCTCGCGTTTTACCATTTCTGAAAGGATGTCATAAGCACTTCAATAATCAAGCGCATGTTATTGTCATTAGCTCAAGAAGTTTGTTGAAATATATACATGCAGCGAGTGCACACAAGCTCTCTGGACAAAGTGAAACCGATCTTGCTCTTGGAAGGCCTCATTAGACAACAACAGAGCATGGCAGGTTTTGTTCTTCTTGGCTTTGTGGCTGCTCATCAAGAAGATGACAAGGTTTATTTGAGCTGGGGTTGACCATGAATTATTATATCTATATAGTATTACGATGTAATGTCTAGGCTGTGAATTTAAAAATGTTGCTTCCTTTGTTTTCAGTCTTCTGGCTTTTGTACGCACAAGTGACACTTCTCTGTAAACCAGTAGCGTTCAGCTACGTGTCTTGCTCTGCATTTTGGTACACTTTTGTCATGCTAGATACCCTTTGGAAAGGGTACCCAATTAGTGGTATGATACTGTTTACTTTGAGGTACCTTTTGACAGTGGAAACGGCCATAAAAGCTTACCAGATCGGACCACTCATTGGAAATGAGCCAATAGTGCCATGTTAGACATTAATCCAAAGTATGAAGTAAAAAAACTCAAATTAATTAAATTAAGGAAAAATATTAATTAAATTAAAAAAACTAATTCGGAGTTGTCTTGAATGCAGTATTAGTAACATATTTCAGATTCACAAAAGATGTGTGCCCTTTTCTTTGTTTGTCAACTGAAATGTGCATCAACACATATCTGGACCAATTCACAAAAAAATGTATACGGAAAAACTTATTTTCAATGAGCCTGGGCTGCCTCATGTGGAGAAGTAATGATGTGTGCCACACTGTAAAGAAATTCTTGCTGCGCTACATTTTTTTGTTAAATCAAATGAGGTTAAATTTTGCATAACTTAAAAAAGTTGAAACCTGCTTGACTTATTAAAATAGGTTAAAGCAAAATAAAAATATTTGTTGTTTTGACTTTTTGTCTTTTTTTTTTACAGTATGTTAATCAATTGATATTTGTGCAATAGCATATAAAACATGAACATGGAATTAATAATTAAAACGCATCTCGTCTTAAGTCATGTAAGCTTCTAAATCATAATATTGTCTGAGTCGTAATAAGGTAAATAATTATGCTCATGTAAACATACCCAGTGTGTGTATTTCATGATTCAATCCTCTACATTTCTCTGTCTTGTATTTGGCAGAGTTTTCATCCCAAACTACATCTCTCGGGTGAAGGTGCAGCTCGTGGACTGTAACACTAAAAACCGTAGCGGTGAGAGTTGTCCAGTTCTGCTGAAGATTCGCTCTAGGGCTCCGCCGGTCCACAACTCCAGTGCCATGGACTGCAGAGAGAACGTTCCATGTGAGCTGGAGGTCCCGCTGCCGTCCTGGGAGCAGTGGTATTACATTCTGGTGGAGCGATATCTCAGCAGCTCAGATGTTTATTTCCGCATTGGTGTTCAGGTTAAAGGTAAGAACTTGTTTTAACTTTTAAGCTTTGGTGTACTGTATAAGAGTATGAGTTCTGAAAGAGATCAGACTTAAGCAAAGGTAAGGAAAAGTAACACAAAAGTAACTCAGAAGTAATTTGACTTATTACTTTACATAAAAAGTAACCAAAAGTAATGCAATTAGTTACTTTTTTGGGGGAGTAACTCAATATTGTAATGCACTACTTTCAAAAGTAACTTCCCCCAACACTGTATCTGGTACATTTTTACATTAGTTTAATTCAGTGGATGTTTTCATCCTGAACATAAAAAAAAGGGTAGTACATTTTTTCAGCACGCAAGAGTTGATTAAAATGTCTAAAACTGGCCAAATTAAAGGACAGAAATATATATCGTGATGAACCTTTATTATAATCAAACCAATATTCTGGGGTCCGACATGTCATTTATCATATGTTTTCCACTGGTGGCAGAAAATCACACCTGGAACCAGATTTACCAGTCTGTGTTTATGGGCGCGTTACTGGATGCCAATACATCCTCTGATTCATCGGTTGCCTGTAGTGTTTGGTTTGCAACAATCCCTGGGAACTCTAGTGGAAATTTTTCAGTCCAACACAAATGAGAGGGCAACAGCTTGATGATTTGATCCGGGCTTCATTAATTCTTTATTGGGATTTATCCGTACAAATGTCGCAGACATATGGCTTCTAGTCATTGTTTGGTTTCAGCATTGCATTTGAGCTTAGCCGTGTGAAATAAATGCATTTGGGTTTCATTGCTTGAAGGGTTTTTACAAAGGCAGGTGTTCACATGGCCCAGGTGGAGTTGGGAAATTAAAGTGTGTTAAGAGAGACAGGCTTTGTTATGAATCTCGATGACAAATTAGGACCTCGGTGGGCTCAGATGAGGAGCGTGTCATAGACTGGAGCCTCCGCCTTTTATTCTGCCTGATGTTACAATGAAGTGTTGATGAATTCCGTACTTTTCCGTGTCTTGAGTCGCCGTGATAAATATGGCAATTGGGCTGCTCGCAAAGTGTGAAATAGATGGGGGACTCAATTCGGTCACATCGACCGTATTATTACAGCATCGGGAAGTTGCACACTCATCTTAAAAGACTTCCTGTCAAATGTACTCTCTCCTTAGAACACTACATTGTTTCAGATCATACACAGCCTTGTTTATATCATGTTCATTTGACCTGATATAATGGTGAAAGGTAATGATGGAGATAGGATACCACTAACCGAGTGGTACTAAAACAACTTACTGTGTTTCTTCTTTTACTGTGTTTCTCAAAATGCAATTAAATTTAGTGACATATTAAAAATTAACTTTAATTTACTAAAGTGTAAACAATCATTCATATTTGTATTGTCATTTATAGTATTTATTTATTTTGTATAGCTTAAACCATATTGTATCTGATCAGCAGTTCTGAGTGGATATGAAAACATTTCACTTTTCGTAAAAAGACATTTTTTTTTAATATTACCAACATATTTTTTTTTACCATTTTATGACTATTTAATAACTTAAAACATTGAGAAATTCTTTGAAATTTTAAAGATTACACAGGAACCAAAATTAAAGTAGGCATATAATAATAGTAGTGTCATGGTTCCAGGAAGAGAAAGGTAGCGAGGACTCAAATGCAGTCAATTATTATAAAAAAAGATCAATAATAAAATTGGAAAAAAAGGGAAAACAAACTACCCTGAGGGGAAAAACATTATATATATATATATATGTATATATATATATATATATATATATATATATATATATATATATATATATATATATATGGGTTAAATTGACTTTACTATTAACAGTCACAGACTACCATGAGATTCAAAGTCAAAATTGAATTCCCTCTCACAACAATTTTCAGAAATACTCCATTGTTTTTCTATCGAATCTACCTTGTTCTCTCATTTCGTCTGATGTCTCAGTGTTCGCCCGCTCCCCTATTTCTCCCGCACATCCTGCGGTGCAGCAGAATCCCTGCCTTTGTTACAGCCTTGATGCCAAGGGATGTTGGCGCTGATGGCTCAGTAAGAGGGGATGAAGAGGAGAGCCATTGATGTTCAATGAGGCTGAACAGTCTCAGACCAGCTTAGATAAAGCACTCACGGGGGAAACAATTGGCCATGATGAGACGGTGTACCTGCGGAGAGCATTATCTGTGTGCGTAAGGAGCGGAAAAAGGAAAAACCTGTCTAGCAAGGAGTTATTGCATTGCTGTTCTGTCACTTTCAAGGCTGAGAGTCAATTTTGTCACCTCAGACTATTTGCTGCATCCTTTTTGCTCAAAAAATTCAATCCATCAAAAGATTAAAACATTAAAGCAGATTAAATAAATATTGTTTTGCATATGCAAGTAACCCCACATTTGCTCTTTCCTTTGTAACACATTTATTACATCCTCTTTTTTTTTTGAAGAAGAAGAAGAATTAACATAATGAGTGTCAAAAAAGATTTTCATACTTGTCTGCAGCAGTCAACGGGTGCTTTTTGCTTCTAGATGACATTTCATATATGTTGTTGATGATTAAATCCTTACATGCTAAGACTGCAAACTACATGTGTTAAAAATAAAATTAACCTTTTGACAAGGCTGCCATGAACATAACTATACATTAATCCACATGTGATGCATGCTGCTTAACATCTGACAGGAAATGTCTCATAGGAAAAATAAAATTATTTTAAATAAAGTTAAATAATTAAAAAATACAGTAAAAGTATAGTAAAGTAAAATAAAGTAAAATAAAATATTTTTTAAATAATGTAAAATAGAAGTAACAAAATAAAGTAAATGCAAAATAAAAGTAAAATAAAGTAAGATAAAGTAAAGGACGATAAAATAAAGGAAGATAAAATTAAGTAAAATTAAATGAATTAAAATAAAGATAAAATAAAGTAAAATAAAGTAGAATAAAGTAAGATAAAATAAAGTAAAAAAGTGAAATAAAATTAAATTCAATTTAAATAAAGTTAAATAAATTAAAATTAAGTTAAATAAAATAAAGTTATATTTAATTCTGTTCAATCCTACTTGATTATATTCAATTCAATTCAATTTAAACATAATAAACATAAACACATGATGTATGTTTGCTATTAGGATAATAGTAAAATCCTTTCAAAGTTAATGTCGTATTGTAAAATATATATTTTTATTGCTTTACATGTTTTTTTTAGTTGATTATACACCTAAATAAAGGAATATTGAGATATGTTTAGTACAATTCAAATATTAATATTTGTTCCACATTTAAGGCAAAACATAAACGAGAAGAAACATTTGTAATATTTTCTAACTCCCAATCTTAGGCTGCATTTACACTGTTATGTTCAATTGACTCAATTCTGTTTTTTTTTTCTTCCATGTGTCACAGATCGAATATGGTTCACTTGCATGTAAGCAGAAATAAAATCATATGGACCTCAATTTACTCAAATCAGATTCAGGTCTTGTTCATATGTGGAAATTTATCCAATAATAATCAGATCTGTGCCCTCGTGTCTTCAGTATAAGCAGGTAGATTGTATTTTAACATGCCAATGCGAGTCACGCATGATTAAGAACTGTAGCGAATGACGTCAACTCTGATGCTTTTATTTCAGAACAGACTTCAGAGTCCCAAACCTTAAATCTCATACACGAGGACGAAAAAAGCTTTTATATTGTAATGTAGCACAAGTATTTAAGCATGTTAATGAGAAAGAGAGAGTGTGCAACATCCGCCACGTAACCAATATAAATTATTATAAAACTGCAGCATATGTCACATGCGTAAATCATGCCATAGACATCACATTAAGATGCCTACCGGTTTGAAAATGCCAAGATTAAAAGAAGATGTCCAAATTAGAACTTTTCTGTCATAATGCAGTATAAATGCAGCCTAAATGTACATGAAAGAAATATTTAATCATGTTGTGATTTTTAACATATTTCTGAAACATATCCTCTAAGCTTACAATAGTAGCTTTCTAAAATCTTCTTACTAACTTCTCATGTTTTTAAACCCCTCCCCCCCCCACCCCCCCCCCTACTCATCAGTGTCACTGCATACTAATTGCAGATAACGTTAATGCAGATTCATAGTACTAGCGACACGTAATCATAGTCGATGAAGCTTAAGTGTCTCACCATACCTGGTTCACCCATGATTAGTGCAGCTTATTTTCTAACATGACCCGAGGGCACCGCAATCAAGCAACTATTAGCCATCATCCAACGCTGTCTTTTGTTTCTCCTCTTTGCTATTTTTTACCAGTTGTGACGCTCCCTACCCTGTATCACATGACCTTGTAGTATCACCTGTGTCTGAAGGTTTTGGTCAGCGCTTCTGTCAGCCTTAATTCAATTATTTTGAACCCAGCTCCCCTTACCTTGATCAATTTCACTGAACAGCAGATACTGGCCGACTGCCATCTCTCTCTCTCTCTCTCTCTCTCTCTCTCTCTCTCTCTCTCTCTCTCTCTCTCTCTCTCTCTCTCTCTCTCTCTCTCTCTCGCTCTCATCTGACTCTTTGTGTCCTTCCTTTGCTTTCTCTCTCCACCATTCAGCTCTCTTGATGCTTTTAATGGAGAGAATAGATCGTTTATAAGTTCAACAAGAAGCATGTGGGAGTTGCTGCGTGTGTGGAATCCATTTCCTCTCCACTGCTTTCATTACAAACTTGTGTTTATTGACTGTACAATGAATGTCGGACTTGGAGAAAAACTAAAATGATTCAAATTCAGAATTGTCAAGTAAACGCTGTGGCTGAGCCTAAACGTTTACGGCATTGCTAGTAGATGTTTTTAAAATTATTGCAAGGTTTCCTACATTATTCCAGTTGTAATCCTAGATTTGTTTTTGAAGGCATTTGATGTTATTTTGAGAATGACTTAATGTTAGCTGTAATCAGGTTTTGTCAGTGTGAGATATTGAATCTTTCATCATCTGTGCAAATCATGTGCAGTATGAAAAAAAAGCAGACCAAACAGAAATAGACAGTGG